TAATAAAAGAACAAATCGCCTAGCTACGCCCGGCAGTTATATTTAATCATATTGGAATTTGTTCAATGGAACTGCTTCGAAAAAAAAGTTATATTAAAGAGAGAGAGAGAGAGAGAGAGAGTGTGTGTGTGTGTGTGTGAAAAAGAGATATGTAACATTTACATTATAAAACTGAGTCAGATGGACATGTATCCCAAAAGAGGCTTCGCGCTTTCAACGGTTACCTTCCGTCCGTTGATGTTTAAAGGAAAATTAAAGGATCAACCTTTGCCTAAAAAATATAGAAAATACATGATTTTGTATCTTTATTTACTTGTATTTCTCTAGCTTCTTGACCCTCTTCATTAAATCGTGGATCCACGCCTATTGTGCCCCCTCTAACTGTAAATCCCGTTACCAGAAGAAAATGCTTTCCTCTTCACGTTAACCGGAAGCATATAACGCTTGCGAAAACTAAGCAAATGCCGTTGTTGGGGAGAATTTTTCTCGTAAGTCAAATCGTAAACTTGTGTGCTCGTAAATAAAAATCTTAAGACTTGTCTTACGAATATTTTTTTTAACTTACGACTACTTTCGTAAAACTGACTTAAGAGTTCTCTTACGATAATCGTAACACAAAACCTTACGACAAAATCGCAAGATTTTTTGTGAAAATGCCTCACAGGATATTTAGATTGGGTCATTATGTGAGTTAAATTAATGTCATAATTTTATGAAATGTCTAATTCATGACCAGAGAATCTGTTTCATATTCTATGTTTCTAAACAGTGTTACAGGTGCATTTTTCTCGCTTTGAAGTCAAGTTTCAATTTAAAAAGATTAACCAATGTAAAAAGATAAACTTATCGGATTCAAAATTTCAGCATTTATTAACGCGATGTTCTCTGCCTCGACTGCTATGTTATGGGTTGCGTTTTTGTTAATTATATTAAATAAACTGAGGACGCGAATTGTAAACAAAGATAAGCACTGGCGGATCAAGGGCCTTCTTTAGTTTAAACATATTAATTGCCAAGAGTAGACAAGGGATTAGGCACAAGTTATAACAACTTATTAACGCCTTCTCCCAATATACATTTTGAATGACATTAATAATGACAATACATATATACAATTGTTATTACAATTTGAACTCGAAATCTCTTGCTGAATTCAATACAGTTTTACACATATCTAAACATGTTTGAGTTAATGTCCACGGAAAATTGTGAATTGCCAAACAAAAGAATTCAAATTATTTAAATTTTGCACCAGAATACGTCTTTCGTTTGTAAAAAGGTGACATTCCATAAAATAGTGAAAGACATTCTCACAAGGATGACCACAATTACAAGATGCACTCTCAACCAAGTTAACTCTAAAAAGGTCATAATTAAGGGAACTGGATTGGTGTCGGAGCTAAGTATGCAAAATATTAAGTTTACGATTTCCGATTTTAAAGTAAATAGGTGGACTTCGACTGAATATTTGATGTTAAACAGGATTTGAATGAGTTTATAGAAGACAGGCATCGAACCGAATTTTCTAAGTTATTCCAGCAATGAGAAGTAGGATGAGGAAGAGAAGAGTTAGTAAGAGAAAGTCTGAAAGGAGGAATCCTATAGTTATTATTGTTACGTAAAGCGTAACGATTATTATCTCCAGATAAAGGCGGCAAAAGATTATTGAAGTAACCAGGAGTTAATTTATTATGCATCTTAAAGAATAGTTGAAGTTTCCTCCGTTTTCTGCGATTAGATTAAGTTTCAAGACTAGTTTCGTAATATAAAGTAGTAATAGGGGTATATGAAGGGAGTCCTAATATAATGCGAACAGCTTCACGTTTTTTTTTCTAACTTTTCCGATTCAAAAATAGTGCAACCGTCCAACAACTCAAAATGTTCTAAGACATGTAAAATTAAAGTCTTGTAAATTATTAAAAGAACATCCCTACTTAATAAGTGTTTCGGTTTCCGTAAGACATTAATTGTTTTCATAGCAGAAGTGTAAATCCCATTTACATGATCCCCCCATTTTGTATTCGAATTAAAAGTTATCCCTTAATGTTTATGATAATCTGTAAAATTCTAGACTTTCCAGTCAAATTTTAAATCTAAGTCTTCCTCGATATCAATTGAATTCGAAATAAACAACACATCTGGGGGTTTTCAGAATTAAAATCAACCAACCAGGTTGTTGATCAAGTATTTAAGATCTCTAGGTTTCTATTTAAAGATTCTTGAATTTCTAGACCAGATGAAGATGACTTTAATAATGATGTATCGTCGTCTGCAAAGAGACGAGACGTTGATTCAAATATATTTGCTATGTCATTAATAAATATAAGAAATAAAAATGGGCCAGGAATAGAGCCTTAGGGAACCCCTTCCTCAATTAGACCTACAGAAGAATATGAACTGTTCAAAAATACCTTTTGGTGTCTCTGAGACAAATAATGTTCTAACTATATAAGCAATTCACCTAAAATTCCGTACGATTTTTTTAACTTCACCATAATACCTCTTTGCCGAACCCTATCAAAAGCATTGGATATGTCACAGAATACAACACATGTTTTTCCCCTCAATTGCAATACATTTGGTGATAAATACCAATGAGTTGATTTACTGTTGAATGACCATGCATAAAAGCAGACTGATGTATGTAAAAGAAAGAATGTTCTATAAAGTAGTTGTACAAATGTTTAAAAATCACTCTTTCAAAAACTTTACCAACAGTGGACAGCAAGGAAATTGGTCTATAATTCGAAGGAGAATGTCTGTCACCCTTTTTAAACAGCTATAATGTCCGGTTGTCCTTAAAAATACAAGTTTAATACATCGATAAATTTGTCAGGTGTTTATTATTAATGTTAAGGTCCCTCCAATGTTACTGATATACAATTTGTATTCCTGTAATTAACGTTAAGGTCCCTCCAATGTTACTGATATACAATTTGTATTCCTGTAAATAACGTTAAGGTCCCTCAAATGTTACTGATATACAATTTGTATTCCTGTAATTAACATTAAGGTCCTTCCAATGTTACTGATATACAATTTGTATTCCTGCAATTAACGTTAAGGTCTCTCCAATGTAACTGATGCGTTCCAGTTACATGTCACGTGTTCAGACCCTCAACGTGAGCTGCTGGCCAATGTGTAAAACACAAATTATCGACAATGCGGCGTGAAACACGTGTGGAGGTGTCGACATGCACGTGTTATAAAAACACGTGGCTCTGCACGTTTTTTACGAGATTAACCATGGCAAAGACAGCGCCCTAGATACTAATATACCTGAACAATCGTTCGAAAGGAATACAAAGGAAATCTTCATTTTGTAATCCCTATGGTTAAACAATTGTATAGCTATTGATATGGATCCTGTTTTCCATTTATAAACGATAGGGTTTTAGTCAATGATCATTTATTATTTTATAGCAATGATGAGATGAGTCTACACCGACACTCTAGGGGGAAGCCCGTATTTCCTCTGGTCCTGACACGGTCACAGACTGAGACATTTTGACCCACACCAGACATATATCTGTCAAAATGTCTAAGTCTGGTGTAAGGGCCAGATGCAATTCAGGCTACCTAGGGAGTAAATTATGCACATCGCTGATAATCGGCCGAACTAACGTCTGTTTGTGTTGAGCGTGAGGTAAATATGTTCGATTTGGAAGGCAGTGTGTCACATTTCAGCACATCGGTATATTGTTTTAATATGTCTTGTTAATTTGGTTACTTGCATTAAATGACGTATGTGAGTGAGACGAATGCTGACAAATAACACCTGTCCTATTCATTGTTATAAGTAACGTACTACTTTACCACCAACACACGAGAAGTTATAAGTAACGTACTACTTTACCACCAACACAAGCGAAGTTATAAGTAACGTACTACTTTACCACCAACACATGCGAAGTTATAAGTAACGTACTACTTTACCACCAACACACGCGAAGTTATAAATAACGTACTACTTTATCACCAACACAAGCGAAGTTATAAGTAACGTACCACTTTACCACCAACACACGCGAAGCGAAACATATTGACTCTTCAGATTTTATGATTATTTGGTTGTGGTTATTTTTACTCGAGATTTTTTCTGTAACGTTCCGAATCGGACAAAATCGTATACAATTAAAGAAAAATAGCAATTTATTTTTAAAATTGGTTTTAAACCACGCTGTTCGATTCCTGACGTCACGTCAACTTCTGCAATCTCGTGAACAATTAACAAAGATTTTTTTATAGCTGTCACATCTCTCAAATAGCTTACTAAAACTAAACTTAATCCATAAATATATTGCAAAGGTTAAATATTGAGCTCTTCAGGTCGGAGATACTTCTCATAGTTATGTAACATATAACCTTAACTTCGTCATAGACATTGTATTGATGCATACGTGTATTCTATTTTTAGGAGATGTCAAGCGTTTTCCCGAAATCTATACTTAAGGATGGCGACAGAATCTCAGTAATGGAAATCTGGAAGCCTGCATCACCGGAACCTGTTTAGTGATGAGGTTGGGAGCAGAGACTCTGCCGGATGTAGAATGTTTCCCCGGCTGCCCACTGTGTACATGCTCCTATGTATATTGGTGGTTCTAAGTGTAATATTGTACACATTTCTGGTGTAGAGGGCCACAAAAGAGGTTGTTTCGTCATTTAAACCTTCGTGGCAAGAATTAATCGTCAGTAATTCCAAAATCGACAATGTAGAACTCATCCCGCGCAAACCGAAAGCTTCAACATTCAATCGTCCTCACGTGCAGAAACAGCAGACGACAGATTGGGTTGTTGTTAACACTTCACCAGCGAAGACCAATGACGATGGGGTTGTGAACCCACACAGATTTACATATTTATTAAATCCGGACGGGATATGTAAAGACAATGTATACCTTTTTATATGCGTGCATACTGCTCCGCCGAATTTTCACAAACGTCAAATGCTTCGACAGACTTAGGGCCAAAAAGCTATCTTGAATCAATACCGATCCAAAATGGTGTTTGTTATGGGAGCGGTAGCGGATAACCGCGTAATGGAGAAAGTGAAAATGGAGCATGCGCATTACGGAGACATTTTGCAGGAAGATTTCGTGGATTTCTACCGGAACTTGACACACAAGGGCATTGCAGCACTGAACTGGGTTTCTAGCTACTGCTATAATACCACATATGCCCTTAAGACAGACGACGACATTATGGTTAATATATTCAAATTAGTGTCCAAACTGACCTCTGACATTGAGAATCGTCTTGGCAAAAAAGATTTGATACTGAGTAACCAATGGTTACGCATGAAGGTTCTTCGAGACAAGAAAAGCAAATTGTACATTCCAAAGGAGGATTTTGAGCCAAATTATTTCTCGCCATATTGTTCAGGATCGGCATTTATTCTAAGCATTGACGTTATTAGGCGGATGTCGGTTGTTGCGAAATGCGTGCCATTTTTCTTGGTAGATGATTATTACATCACAGGCATGCTAGCGAAAAAAGTAGATTTGACTCCAAAAAACGTCTAAACAAGGCTAATTTTGCTAATCAAATTTAATTTTTAAATAGTAAAAAAATGTGTTTGTTGTTATTTGCATTATTGAAAATTTTGCATTTTCATACCTAGACCGTATTCGCGCTAAATGGTTCACCAGTGTCAGAATCCATGTACACGACAGACAGGCACTGGTAAAGTTTTATAATTTCAAATGTTTAGTGTTGCCCGTTTGACATTGACTTTAATAAGGTATTGTTTTTACTACAAAGACGTTAATAGAACGATTCCTGCTATACAATCAATCCAAGTATTCTACTTAGAGCACCGCTTGTAGCATTACTCAAAAGACCGATAACACCGCATGTATTATTACTGTAGACCGCTTAATACTTTACTCAACAGCTGTCAATATGTAAGTTATATGCCATTAATACTTTACTCAACAGCTGTTAATATATGCGTGACAGGTGGATTAAATGGTCCTAATATCACGTGTCCGTCTTCACGAGCTCATGATATTTAATATTACTTTTATGTTAGTTTGCTGCAAGCTGTAACATAGCAGCCTGATAAATATCCTAAATGTGTATGGCGAGAAAATTACATATACTGTAGCTATAAAATATCCGGTTATTGTTGTGCACAAATCCGTTGATTACATATTTCTGTAAGCCGAAGCGGACAAGCTGATGCTGATCCAATCCGTCATTTCGTTCCATTTAGTCAAGTAAAGGAGCGGACGAATGATTAGTTTGTATCTGATCCCAAATAGATTTTTTATTTGTTAATTGTTCACGAGATTGTAGAAGATGACGTGGCGTCAGGAATCGAACAGAGTGGTTTAAAACCAATTTAAAAAATAAATTGCTATTTTTCTTTAATTGTATGCGATTTTGTCCGATTCTGAACGTTACAGAAAAAATCTCGAGTAAAAATAATCACAACAATATAATCATAAAATCTGAAGAGTCAATATGTTTCGCTTCGCGTGTGTCGGTGGTAAAGTGATACGTTACTTATTACTTCGCGTGTGTTAGAGGTAAAGTAGTACGTTACTTACAACTTCGCGTGTGTTGGTGGTAAAGAAGTACGTTACTTATAACTTCGCGTGTGTTGGTGGTAAAGTAGTACGTTACCTATAACTTCGCATGTGATGGTGGTAAAGCAGTACGTTACTTATAACTTCGCGTGTGTTGGTGGTAAAGTAGTACGTAACTTATGACTTCGCGTGTGTTGGTGGTAAAGTAGTACGTTACTTATAACAATGAATAAGACAGGGGTTGTTTGTCAGCATTCGTCTCACTTACATCCGTAATTTAATGCAAGTAACCAAATTAACAGGAAATATTGAAACAATATACCGATGTGCTGAAATGTGACACACTGCCTTCCAAATCGAACATATCAGCGTAGTGCATAATTTACTCCCTAGGTAGCCCGAATTTCATCTGGCCCTGGCTGGTGTGGGTCAAAATGTCTAAGTCTGTGACCGTGTCAGGGCCAGCGGAAATACGGACTACCCCCTAGGTAGTCCGAATTATTCTGACGTTTTATCGACTTTTTTCATATCGGTCTGTCGTCGATTACCGTCAGAACTCCGGCCCTCTATAATATGCGGGAAATATGCGACCCGCGCCCGGAGCGCACTTCAAACTGATATTTTAGAAACAAATCGTCACTTTCACACACATGTCGCACATGGATCGAAAGATCTATTCTTTATGCACGAGATGAACATGCATAACATGCCTCAAACAACCAATACAATCACTAAAAACATATCTTTTCAAACTTACTCTGTTTTACTCTAGTTTTTTGATAGCCCCGCCTTCTAATGCCACGTGACTAAAATATCGCCGGCATACGTCTTAACGTTGGGAAATACCTTCGGTAACGCGAGATCTCGTCAAGTCATGTGACATTGCTCATGGCCTAATTTCCATTAAAAACATGGGTTGGTATAGAAAACGTTGGAAAATACTTTTCGTTATGATCTTTGAAACATGTTATTGATACCACCTAGTGCGTAAAGAATAGATCTTTCGATTCATGTGCGACATGTGTGTGAAAGTGACGATTTGTTTCTAAAATATCAGTTTGAAGTGCGCTCCGGGCGCGGGTCGCATATTTCCCGCATATTATAGAGGGCCGGAGTTCTGACGTTAATCGACGACAGACCGATATGAAAAAAAGTTGATAAAACGTCAGAATAATTCTGACTACCCCCTAGGGTGTCGGTGTAGACTCGTCTCATCAACGCTATAAAAATAATCCATGATCATTGACTAAAACCCTGTCGTTTATAAATGGAAAACAGGATCCATATCAATAGCTATACAATTGTTTTAAGCATAGGGATTACAAAATGAAGATTTCCTTTGTATTCCTTACGAACGATTGCTCAGTTATTTTAGTATCTGGGGCGCTGTCCTTGCCATGGTTAATCTCGTATAAAACGTGCAGAGCCACGTGGTTTTTATAACACGGGCATGTTGACACCTCCACACGTGTTTCACGCCGCATTTTCGATAATTTGTGTTTTACACATTGGCCAGCAGCTCACGTTGAGGGTCGGAACACGTGACATGTAACTGGAACGCACCAGTAACATTGGAGGGACCTTAACGTTAATTACAGGAATACAAATTGTATATCAGTAACATTGGAAGGACCTTAATGTTTATTATAGGAATACAAATTGTATATCAGTAACATTTGAGGGACCTTAGCATTAATAATAAACACCTGACAAATTTATCGATGTATTAAACTTTTATTTTAAGGACAACCGGACATTATAGCTGTTTAAAAAGGGTGACAGACATTCTCCTTCGAATTATAGACCAATTTCCTTGCTGTCCACTGTTGGTAAAGTTTTTGAAAGAGTGATTTTTAAACATTTGTACAACTACTTTATAGAACATTCTTTCTTTTACAAACATCAGTCTGCTTTTATGCATGGTCATTCTACAGTAAATCAACTCATTGATATTTATCACCAAATGTATTGCAATTGAGGGGAAAAACATGTGTTGTTTTCTGTGACATATCCAAAGCTTTTGATAGGGTTTGACATAGAGGTCTTATGGTGAAGTTAAAAAAATCGTACGGAATTTTAGGTGAATTGCTTATGTAGTTAGAACATTATTTGTCTCAGAGACACCAAAAGGTATTTTTAAACAGTTCAAATTCTTCTGTGGGTCAAATTGAGGTAGGGGTTCCCCAAGGCTCTATTCTTTGCCCACTATTATTTCTTATATTTATTAATGACATAGCAAATATATTTGAATCAACGTCTCGTCTCTTTGCAGACGACGATACATCATTATTAAAGTCATCTTCATCTGGTCTAGAAATTCAAGAATCTTTAAATAGAAACCTAGAGATCTTAAATACTTGATCAAAAACCTGGTTGGTTGATTTTAATCCTGAAAAAACCCAGATGTGTTGTTTATTTCGAATTCAATTGATATCGAGGAAGACTTAGATTTAAAATATGATTGGAAAGTCTTAAATTTTACAGATTATCTTAATTTTTAATTCGAATGCAAAATGGGGGGATCATGTAAATGGGATTTACACTTCTGTTATGAAAACAATTAATGTCTTACGGAAACCGAAACACTTATTAAGTAGGTTGTTTTGATAATTTACAAGACTTTAATTTTACATGTCTTAGAACGTTTTGAGTTGTGGGACGGTTGCACTATTTTTGGAACGGAAAAGTTAGAAAAAACCCAACGTGAAGCTGCTCGCATTATATTAGGACTCCCTTCATATACCCCTATTAATACTTTATATTACGAAACTAGTCTTGAAACTTAATCTAATCGCAGAAAACGGAGGAAACTTCGACTATTCTTTAAGATGCATAATAAATTAACTCCTGGTTACTTCAATCATCTTTTGCCGCCTTTATCTGGAGATAATAATCGTTACGCTTTACGTAACAATAATAACTATAGGATTCCTCCTTTCAGACTATCTCTTACTAACTCTTCTTTTCCTCCTCCTACTCTTCATTGTTGGAATAACTTAGAAAATTCGGTTCGATGCCTGTCCTCTATAACCTCATTCAAATCCTGTTTAACATCAAATATTCAGTCGAAGTCCACCTATTTACTTTAAAATCGGAAATCGTAAACTTATTATTTTGCATACTAAGCTCCGACACCAATCCAGTTCCCTTAATTATGACCTTTTTAGAGTTAACCTTGTTGAGAGTGCATCTTGTAATTGTGGTCATCCTTGTGAGAATGTCTTTAACTATTTTATGGAATGTCACCTTTTTACAAACGAAAGACGTATTCTGGTGCAAAATTTAAATAATTTGAATTCTTTTGTTTGGCAATTCACAATTTTCCGTGGACATTAACTCAAACATGTTTAGATATGTGTAAAACTGTATTGAATTCAGCAAGAGATTTCGAGTTCAAACTGTAATAACAATTGTATATATGTATTGTCATTATTAATGTCATTCAAAATGTATATTGGAAGAAGGCGTTGATAAGTTGTTATAACTTGTGCCTAATCCCTTGTCTACTCTTGGCAATAAATATGTTTAAACTAAAGAAAGCCCTTGATCCGCCAGTGCTTATCTTTGTTTACACTTCGCTTCCTCAGTTTATTTAATATAATTAACAAAAACACAACCCATAACATAGGAGTCGGGGCATAGGACATCGCGTTAATAGATGATGAAATTTTGAATCCGACAATTATATGAAGACTGCTTTAAAGTTTAAATCTCCCAGTCTTTTTAAAATAAAATAAAATCTATCTTTTATAGAACTGAACCTATCTTTAATAAAGAATTGAACCTACAGGAACTGATCATACATTTTCAGTTAAAGATGGTGTCTGTGCCACTCCCTGGTGATATAAAATCTGAGCCAAGGCCAGGAAACATATTTATATTTTATTGGACTCGTGATTTGTTTAATTAATTCTTTTTGAAAAAAACTCTGCACGAAAACAAATATAATGTATTGAAATATGTGAATTGATCCAAATTGTCTCCCTTTGTACGGTTTCGTGTTAAGATCCAAATTGTCTCCCTTTGTACGGTTTCGTGTTTAGATCCAAAATGTCTCCCTTTGTACGGTTTCGTGTTTAGATTGAACGAGCACCTCCGACACTGGTGTACCAAAATAACTTTTCAGTATTACAAAGGACATCATTCAGCTCTCGGAACCGGATTATAGTGGTGAGTTATATCACGCTGGCCATACGAATAATAAACTTGCGGTATGGTAATATATCTTTTGGCTTAAAGTTGCTGAGGCGGACGATTGAGAAGTGAAGTAAATCGTTTGATTTCTTCTTACATATCTTGATAATTTCTTACACACTTCTCTATACGTTTGCATGATCTGAAGTCCAACCATACTGTATTTACAATGTAAGCACGTGTATGTGTGAACACTTTGGTTCAGTTTCGTGTATTGTGCCTGATTTTGTCAGTTTCGTCGTCTATTGTTACATACATGTAGCTGTCACAGAACAGTACATGCTGATTAATGCATCGAAAGTCCCTACACAGTGAGTACGCCGACGGGATTGTGGATGATATGTTGTCCGTCGATTATAACCTAGTAAGCGTTTCCCAAAACGAAATATTCTCCAAATTCCTTACTCTCATAACAGGTACCATACGAGGAGCAAAACATGCTAAACCAAACAGTATATCTGATTTGCTTTAATTTTGCTACGTCAAAATTTTGCATTTTCATACCTAGAGCGAATTCGCGCTTGATTCACCTGTGTCTGAATCAATGTTCACGACAGACAACTACTGGTAAAGTTTCCTAATTTCATGTGTCTGGTGGTCCCCGTTTGACGTCGACTTTAATTAGGTATTGTTGTTTACTACAAAGATGTTTATAGAACGATACCTGCTATTCTACTTAGAGCACCACTTGTAGCATTACTCAAAAGACCGATAACACCGCATGTATTATTACTGTAGACCGCTTAATACTTTACTCAACAGCCGTCAATATGTTAGTTATATGCCATTATAAATTTACTTCCTTTTTATACAGCACTCTCTAGTTTGAAGTATATCATCATTACTTATACATATTCAATGTTATCTTGTAATTTCTGCTTCGTTTCCTTTAAAAAAATGAATTAGCAAAACATGTACCAACAGTCGGTCAGCAATGCATAACGAACATACATATATCTTTGTTGAATTTTCAATATTAGTCGAACGACTTTCATTTTTCACAATTTATATCTTAAGTACGCAAACCTGATGACGTGGGTTTTTAGCCACAACACATGCTACTACACCGCAAGATATGTGACTACACCGCAAGTTCATTTCTCGTATGACAAGAGTGTATATTTTTCTCATTGTTAATTGAAAGTGAGAGAAATATTTTAATATCTTAAATGAACGAATTACATGCAGAAATATTCGGTAATCCTGAAATGTTTGAGAGGAATGATGGAATACTTCAAAATTTTCAAATAAAGTTGATTTATTCCAGTCGCAAAGTTAAGATTTGTTTTGAGGATGGGCCATACTTGGATTCAAGTATAGCTAACGACATCGTGAGGGTAATTATACTTAATTTCTCTTGTAGATCGAACAATAACATCATGAAGTGTGAATAACAACAAACACATTTCTGTACTATTTAAAAATTAAATTTGATTAGCAAAATGTAATGACGGAATGAAATCTTCTAATAATGCACTATGATAAAACAGTCTTTAGCTACCAGGTTTCCATGTAAAGTTATCGGTCTTTACTCGCATTCTTTCTTTCAGTATATCCCACATGGAATAAATAGTGTTTTGTTTCCCCACGTGGAAAAATAATAATTTATTATCTGTGTCATTTTTAAATCTGTCCACTACAACTTTGCCGTTTAGAATGTAAGCCTCGTTAAGACGTTTTTGAGTCACACCTACTTTTTTCGCTAGCATGCCTGTGATGTAATAATCATCTACCCAGAAAAATGGCACGTATTTCGCAACAGCCGACATTCGCCTAATAACGTCAATGCTTAGAATAAATGCTGATCCAGAACAATATGCCGGGAAATAATTGGGCTCAAAATCCTCCTTTGGAATGTACCATTTGCTTTTCTTGTCTCGAAGAACCTTCATGCGTAACCATTGGTTACACAGTATCAAATCTGTTTTGCCAAGACGATTCTCAATGTCAGAGGTCAGTTTGGACACTAATTTGAATATATTAACCATAATGTCGTCGTCTGTCTTAAGGGCATATGTGGCATTATAGCAGTAGCTAGAAACCCAGTTCAGTGCTGCAATGCCCTTGTGTGTCAAGTTCCGGTAGGAATCCACGAAATCTTCCTGCACAATGTCTCCGTAATGCGCATGCTCCATTTTCACTTTCTCCATTACGCGGTTATCCGCTACTGCTCCCATAACAAACACCATTTTGGATCGGTATTGATTCAAGATAGCTTTTTGGCCCCAGGTCTGTCGAAGCATTTGACGTTTGTGAAAATTCGGCGGAGCAGTATGCACGTATATAATAAGGTATACATTGTCTTTACATATCCCGTCCGGATTTAATAAATATGTAAATCTGTGTGGGTTCACAACCCCATCGTCATTGGTCTTCGCTGGTGTAGTGTTAACAACAACCCAATCTGTCGTCTGCTTTTTCTGCACGTGAGGACGATTGAATGTTGAAGCTTCCGGTTTTCGCGGGATGAGTTCTACATTGTCGATTTTGGAATTACTGACGATTAATTCTTGCCACGAAGGTTTAAATGACGAAACAGCCGTTTTTGTGGCCCTCTGCACCAGAAATGTGTACAATATTACACTTAGAACCACCAATATACATAGGAACCTGTACACAGTGGGCAGCCGGGGAAACATTCTACATCCGGCAGAGTCTCTACTCCCAACCTCATCACTAAACAGGTTCCGGTGATGCAGGCTTCCAGGTTTCTATTACTGAGATTCTGTCGCCATCCTTAAGTATATGGATTCCGGGAAAACGCTTGACATCTCCTAAAAATAGAATACACGTATGCATCAATATAATGTCTATGACGAAGTTAAGGTTATATGTTACATAACTGTGAGAAGTATCTCCGACCTGAAGAGTTCCACATTTAACCTTTGCAATATATTTATGGATTAAGTTTAGTTTAAGTTAACTATTTGAGAGATTTGAGAGCCACAACAAAAATGCAAGCATTAATACATAACGCCCAGGTCTCTTTATACTATTTGATAAATAAATAAATTATTAATTGCCATAACGGTAAACTTGAAATACACAAGTAAATGTAAGGTAGTATGTTTCCTTAAGAGACCTTAACGCCACATTGAATAGTGTTGCAGCTGTGCGTCTGATTGCGGAACGCAGAAGTGATCCTAATATCACGTGTCCGTCTTCACGAGCTGATGATATTTCATATTACTTTTATGGTAGTTTGCTACAAGCTGTTACATAGCAGTCTGATAAATATCCTAAATGTGGTATGGCGAGAAAATTACATATACTGTAGCTATTAAATATCCGGATATAAAAATCCGTGTTGATTACATAGCCAAAGCGGACAAGCTGATGCTGATCCAATCCGTCATTTCGTTCCTTTTTGTCAAGGAAAGGAGCGGACGATTAATTAGTTGTTATCTGATCGCAAAGAGACATTTTTTCTTTGTTAATTGTAGAAGTTGACGTGACGTCAGGAATCGAACAGCGTGGTTGAAAACCAATTTAAAACATAAATGCTAATGTTCTTTTATTGTATGCTATTTTGTCCGATTCTGAACGTCGGAGAAAAAATCTCGAGTGAAAATAATCCCAACAAAATAATCATGAAATCTGAAGAGTCAATATGTTTCGCTTCGCGTGTGTTGGTGGTAAAGTAGAACGTTACCTATAACTTCGCGTGTGCTGGTGGTAAAGAAGTACGTTACTTATTACTTATTCGGGCGATTATCAGCTAAGTGCATAATCTATTCACTAGGTAGCACGAATTCCATCTGGCCCTTACACCAGACTTAGACATTTTGACAAATAGATGGCTGGTGTGGGTCAAAATGTCTAGGTCTGTGACCGTGTCAGGGCCAGAGGAAATACAGACTACCCCCTAGGGTGTCGGTGTAGACTCGTCTCATCAACGCTATAAAATAATCAATGATCATTGATTAAACCCTGTCGTTTAAAATGGAAGACAGGATCCATATCAATAGCTATACAATTGTTTTAACCATAGGGATTACAAAATGAACATTTCCTTTGTATTCCTTACGAACGATTGTTCAGTTATATTAGTATCTGGGGCGCTGTCTTTGCCACGGTTAATCTCGTATAAAACGTGCAGAGCCACGTGGTTTTTATAACACGTGCATGTCGACATCCCCACACGTGTTTCACGCCGCATTCACTGACATTGGACAGCAGCCCATGTTGAGAGTCGGAACATGTGACATGTAATTGGAACGCAAATGACAGGAATACAAATTGTATATCAGTAACATTGGAGGGACCTTAACGTTAATTACAGGAATACAAATTGTATATCAGTAACATTGGAGGGACCTTAACGTTAATTACAGGAATACAAATTGTATATCAGTAACATTGGAGGGACCTTAACGTTAATTACAGGAATACAAATTGTATATCAGTAACATTGGAGGGACCTTAACGTTAATTACAGGAATACAAATTGTATATCAGTAACATTGGAGGGACCTTAACGTTAATTACAGGAATACAAATTGTATATCAGTAACATTGGAGGGACCTTAACGTTAATTACAGGAATACAAATTGTATATCAGTAACATTGGAGGGACCTTAACGTTAATTACAGGAATACAAATTGTATATCAGTAACATTGGAGGGACCTTAACGTTAATTACAGGAATACAAATTGTATATCAGTAACATTGGAGGGACCTTAACGTTAATTACAGGAATACAAATTGTATATCAGTAACATTGGAGGGACCTTAACGTTAATTACAGGAATACAAATTGTATATCAGTAACATTGGAGGGACCTTAACGTTAATTACAGGAATACAAATTGTATATCAGTAACATTGGAGGGACCTTAACGTTAATTACAGGAATACAAATTGTATATCAGTAACATTGGAGGGACCTTAACGTTAATTACAGGAATACAAATTGTATATCAGTAACATTGGAGGGACCTTAACGTTAATTACAGGAATACAAATTGTATATCAGTAACATTGGAGGGACCTTAACGTTAATTACAGGAATACAAATTGTATATCAGTAACATTGGAGGGACCTTAACGTTAATTACAGGAATACAAATTGTATATCAGTAACATTGGAGGGACCTTAACGTTAATTACAGGAATACAAATTGTATATCAGTAACATTGGAGGGACCTTAACGTTAATTACAGGAATACAAATTGTATATCAGTAACATTGGAGGGACCTTAACGTTAATTACAGGAATACAAATTGTATATCAGTAACATTGGAGGGACCTTAACGTTAATTACAGGAATACAAATTGTATATCAGTAACATTGGAGGGACCTTAACGTTAATTACAGGAATACAAATTGTATATCAGTAACATTGGAGGGACCTTAACGTTAATTACAGGAATACAAATTGTATATCAGTAACATTGGAGGGACCTTAACGTTAATTACAGGAATACAAATTGTATATCAGTAACATTGGAGGGACCTTAACGTTAATTACAGGAATACAAATTGTATATCAGTAACATTGGAGGGACCTTAACGTTAATTACAGGAATACAAATTGTATATCAGTAACATTGGAGGGACCTTAACGTTAATTACAGGAATACAAATTGTATATCAGTAACATTGGAGGGACCTTAACGTTAATTACAGGAATACAAATTGTATATCAGTAACATTGGAGGGACCTTAACGTTAATTACAGGAATACAAATTGTATATCAGTAACATTGGAGGGACCTTAACGTTAATTACAGGAATACAAATTGTATATCAGTAACATTGGAGGGACCTTAACGTTAATTACAGGAATACAAATTGTATATCAGTAACATTGGAGGGACCTTAACGTTAATTACAGGAATACAAATTGTATATCAGTAACATTGGAGGGACCTTAACGTTAATTACAGGAATACAAATTGTATATCAGTAACATTGGAGGGACCTTAACGTTAATTACAGGAATACAAATTGTATATCAGTAACATTGGAGGGACCTTAACGTTAATTACAGGAATACAAATTGTATATCAGTAACATTGGAGGGACCTTAACGTTAATTACAGGATTACAAATTGTATATCAGTAACATTGGAGGAACCTTAATGTTAATTACAGGAATGCAAATTGTATATCAGGAACATTGGAGGGACCTTAACGTTAATTACAGGAATACAAATTGTATATAAATAATATTGGAGGAACCTTAACGTTAATTACAGGAATACAAACTGTATGTCAGTGACATTGGAGGGACCTTAACGTTAATTACAAGAATACAAAATGTATCTCAGTAACATTGGAGGGACGTTAACATTAATTACAGGAATACAAATTGTATATCAGTAACAATGGAGGGACCTTATCGTTAATTACAGGAATACAAATTGTATATCAGTAACATTGGAGGGACCTTAACGTTAATTGCAGGAATGCAAATTGTATATCAGGAATATTGGAGGGACCTTAATGTTAATTACAGGAATACAAATTGTATATCAGTCACATTGGAGGGACCTTAACGTTAATTGCAGGAATGCAAATTGTATATCAGGAACATCGGAGGGACCTTAATGTTAATTACAGGAATAGAAATTGTATATCAGTAACATTGGAGGGACCTTCACGTTAATTACAGGAATACAACTTGTATATCAGTAACATTGGAAGAACCTTAACATTAATTACAGGAATACAAATTGCATATCAGTAACAATGGAGGGACCTTATCGTTAATTACAGGAACACACCTTGTATATCAGTAACATTGGAGGGACCTTCACGTTAATTACAGGAATACAAGTTGTATATCAGTAACATTGGAGGGACCTTAACGTTAATTACAGGACTACAAATTGTATATCAGTAACTTTGGAGGAACCTTAACGTTAATTACAGGAATACAAAATGTATGTCAGTAACATTGGAGAGACCTTAACATTAATTACAGGTATACAAATTGTATATCAGTAACATTGGAGGGACCTTAATGTTAATTACAGGAATACAAATTGTATATCAGTAACATTGGAGGAACCTTAATGTTAATTACAGAAATACAAATTGTATATCAGTAACATTAGAGGGATCTTTACGTTAATTACAGGAATGCAAATTGTATATCAGTAACATTGGAGGGACCTTAATGTTAATAACAGGAATACAAATTGTATATCAGTAACATTGGAGGGATCTTACCGTTAATTATAGGAATACAAATTGTATATCAGTAACAATGGAGGGACCTTAACGTTAATTACAGGAATACAAATTGTATATCAGTAACATTGGAGGGACCTTAACGTTAATTACAGGAATACAAATCGCATATCAGTAACATTGGAGGGACCTTACAGTTGATTACAGGAATACAAATTGTATATTAGTAACATTGGAGGGATGTTAACGTTAATTACAGGAATACAAATTGTATATCAGTATTAATGGAGGGACCTTAACGTTAATTACAGGAATACAAATTGTATATCAGTATCCTAAACAGGTGACAAAATAGGGTCAGCTTCATATTGAAGAATTCCGTAACGTAAATTATTATCTTAATTTATCGATGTATTAAACACGTATTTTAAAGGACAACCGGACATTAAAGTATTGTATTAAACATTTGAAGTGTATTATTACATGGACAGATTTCACAGATTTAATTATTATGTCCTGTTAGTAAAAAGAAAATAACCGACCTTGACCCGGTCAGATAGCCGTGTTTATGAGATTTACGGTACCTGTGTTGGTCAAAGGTCATACCGAGAGTACAGATAAACGGTTTTCG